TGACGACTTAAAAGTTCTAAGCTCAATCCACGAAAGAGTTTGTGGAAACCACTCAAAAGGTCAAACCTTAGCATAGAAGGTCTTCAACGCTAGCTACTACTGGCCTACCATGCATCAAAACGCTAAGGAATTTGTTCAAAAGTGCGACAGCTGCCAATGTTTCAAGCATGTACCCACACTGTCTGCCAGCGAGCTCCACCCGCAAATAAGTTCATGGCCATTCATGCAGTGGGCAATCGACGTGGTAGGGCCCATGTCGCCTGCTACTCGGGGCAGATGCATAATGATCGTGGCTACCGGCTACTTCACCAAGTGGGTAAAAGCCTAGCCCATGACCATCACTACTCAATTAGACATAGAGCACTTCATATGGAGGAACATTATTTGTCGGCTCGGCATCCCTCAATCTATCGTCACTGACAATGGCCCGTAATTTGTAGGCAAAGACTTGGCAAAGTTCTTCCAGAAATATGGCATCAAACAACACATGTTTACGCCTAGATATCCCCAAGGCAACAGCTAGGCGGAGGCATCCAACAAGACAATCCTAGATTGCCTTAAGAAATCCCTCACAGATAAGCAGGGAAAGTGGCCAGAAAAACTTCCCGGTGTCCTATGGGCGTATCGTACAACCAAACGACGAGCAACCGGTGAAACTCTTTTCTCATTGGCATTCGATTTAGAAGCAATCATCCATCCCAATGTCATCGTGCCGAGCATCAGCACCATATTGCCAACTTTTAAGCAGAACAAAAATAAGATGGCAACAAATCTAGAACTAGCAGAGAAGGAACGCGAGAAGGTTATCACCCATATTGTAGCCTACCAGCAGCAGCTCCTCTCTAGCTACAACAAAAGGGCAAAGATTAGGCAGTTTCAACCTGGAGATCTGGTCCTAAGAAAAACATTCATCACTACCTAAAGAGAAGGCTCCAAAAAGATTAATCATATATGGGAAGGTCCATATAAAGTCAGCAGAGCAGGTGGCAAGAATAGGTACACCCTAAGCACCATGAACGACAAAGAGATCGACAAACGATGGAATGCCTATAACCTGGGGAAGTACTACGCATGACCTCCCATTTCTCCATTTATCTCCAAAATTCAATAAGCTTTAGCTACCCCTAAAGAGGCTTTTTGCTTCCCACAAACACTCAAACACATTCTTCTTGGAATTCTAACTTTGGCATCGGAGATTCTTCAGCCAAAGCCCCTTTTCATTATGGACGCGTGAGGCTTTTGGCCTTAATCTTATGTGTTATTATTTTGCAGGTGCAGATTCGTCAATCAAAGGAAGGCAGAAATTTGTATCCACATGCATCACAAATATATTTTTTTTATTATTAACAAGGAGCAATGCCTCAACAGAGAACTCGGAGATGTGGAATCCCAAAATGGATAGGACAACAAAACTGTTAATTTGATTCCATCGGAAAATGCATAAGTTTGAATAGTGATCATTTTTCAAAGTTTATTGCTTTTGAGGGCAACGATCCTTAAAATATTCCTTTGACGAAGGATTGACGCTTGATTAAGGAAGATGGAAAGGAAGTCAAAAGTAGGTATATTTTTTTTCTTACAAATTGTATAATTAGTAAAAGATTATAAACATAATTAACGAACTTATATGTATATATGAATATATATTATGATGGATAATTATTAATTTTGTTTATTATTATTTATTCAATTACTAGTTTTGTTTATGTTTATTTAAATTGTCATTTTTATTTTTTTTTATTATTAATATTTTTTCTGTCAGTTATGGACGACAGAATTGTCCTTGTATCCAACCGAATTTCTCAAAATTTAGTGTCGATTGAATCCGACGGAATGATTAATGTCACTTGTAACCAATGCCAATGTCTCCTATCCGACACCATTTTGCTTTTCTTGTTTAATGGACTCTCCTTTTTCTAGGCGGATTAAGAGTCCTATCCGACAACAAAAGCATTTTCGTGACACAAGCAATGTTGTCAGTTCTTTTATTAGCCATTACATGAATTTCTGTTGGATTTTTTGTTAATTTCCGACATAAATGGGCTTTTCTTGTCGTTTTTAAAAGACAATATTGGGTACTTTTGTAGTAGTGAAGGACCATCTTGCATAACCTTTGATTGAAACGCTTTTCCTTGCCACCTAAGCCAAGCATTTCAAGAATTAAAATTCGAGCACAACAACGTATGTGAAAAGACACAGTAAAGGAAAGAGATGTACTTGTTTGTTGAGATGTTGCAGAAGTTGCCTTCTCTTGCCCATTCCCTTGCTTGTCACTCTTTCCATCACAATTATTGAATGACTTTCTTTTCTTGGCACTTTTAGAGAATTCCCCAGAGACCTTGCCCTCTTTTGTCGTTTAGAGTAGGTTGGCTTCGAGTTGAGGGTTTAAAGGAGACAGGGAAGCAAAGATGTAGATGGCAAACCACCCGCAAACTTGAATTTTTGTATCGGCACAAGCTAAAGTGGCTCCACTTTTCTACAAAAACAAAAAACAATGGATAAGCTAAACAAGAGACTTAAGAAATAATTTACTATTGTAAAAAAAAAAGCAACAATTAACTTTAAATCTAAACCAACTAAAAGTGTAACAATCCAATTAAGTAAGTAATATAATCAAATTCGATCCCCAACAACGGTGCCAGAAAGTTGTTATGAAATTAGCAACTTAAATATTAAGCTACTAATTACACGTTTTAAACTCACAAGTGCACAAGATCAAACACATAGTGTAGAAAGAAAGTACGAGATCATTCCCACGAGGATTGCACTAATATATACTAGAATATGATTCATTTATAAGTGAGAGGTCAACCAATTCTTAAGGAGACATTGAACAAGAAAAAACTAAATAAAGTAAGTTAATATGGTATAGTTAACTTATTTGTGGCCTCATGGTAAAAGATCCATTGGTATTTTTATTCATTTATAAGTGAAAAATTTTAAGCTTAATTTTCGCTAAAAACGAATATGAGTAAAATTATTATGGCTAGAATCTTAGGGCAACAAAAAAAAAAAAAAAACAATGTCTGGTAAACTATTACATAAATTGGTGTGAATATGTTAAATGACTAAAAAAGACATGGTATTTTTTTTCAAACGATATTATCTACACTAAAGAAGTGATGGTGTGGGTTAAGCTTCACAATAGGCTAACAATAATGTGGTTCAAGTTTGCCTTTGGCGAGAATCAAACCTAAGACGTCTCACTTATAAGGGAAAATGAATATCACTAGACTGTAGTACTAAATGACAAATAGAAATGGTTTAATGTAAAATAATAATGGTCAAAGAGAAATGTAGGACAATGATTGTAATTTTGTAAAATATGTGGTATACTTGCCATTTAAAAATTTCTTTAAATGGACACTGATTAGTGATTACTACGCTTTGAAAAAAAAAATCATTTTTTTTAGAAGCATTGTAGACTCTACTTATGCTTTTTTTATATGTTATTTTATGTTTTTCTATTGTCATTGTCAACAGTTTCTTAAAAAAAGTTTTTTTTTTTTTTTTACCAAACACATTTAATGTTTCAGATTTTTTAATAAGTTGTTTTTTTTTAAAAAAAAAAAAAAAAAAAGCACCACAATCCCAAACTAACCCTTAATTCATTTTCCCAAACTAGCTAGGTACCAATTGCCACACAAAAATTTAAGGCTTGGGAAAAGAAATGAATGAACGGTTTGCAACTTTACATGCATACTCTGTGCAGTAGATAACATGTATCAATGATCCAATGTCATGGACTCATGGCAGATATATATTATAATTGCCCAACAAACAAACTTGCATGGTTGCACCCTTAAATCTATGAGGAAGCTATGCATTATTTCCCTTGCAATATCAATTTCTCAACGTCCTTTGTGTGAACCATTTACCTATTGATCACATATCCATTGTAGGACAATGCATTCAAGTGCCCACTCCTACTGATGAGTGATGATATTATGTAGAAGAGAAAGAAGGTGATGAGTGATGATATTCTAGTGTGGTTGAGTTAATACTAAGGGTGTGATATCCACACATCCCTTTTTACTTCTCTCGCACCTTTTTAATTTTAAGCCGTTAGATTGGATGAATTAAAGAATATCAAATGACATAAATTAACAAGGGGTGTGAGAGTAGTAAAAAGGGGTGTGTGGATAGCACACCCCTAATACTAAATGTATGGACTCTAACAAATAACCCATTAAAACTCGACATCTAATATGGACATTTAATTAAATGCCTATTAATAATTACGGTACAGTTTTCAAAAACCAAAACCGAAACCAAACCGTTTCCTACTTTGCGGTTCGGTTTCAAAACCAAAACCGTTTCAAAACTGCAAAATCGAACCGTTCGATGTGAACCGAATTTGTTTGTGTTTCGGTTTTGGTTTTTTGTTTTAAGTGTCCACCCCTACTTGGTCGTCGAATTGGGGTTGCCAGGTGTGCTTTTTGTTTTTGGGGGTGGGGACCTGGGGTGGCTTCAAAGGAATGAATGAGGATCTTCTTCGGATTTTCTTTATGAGGATCCTCCAATCACGTCTGTTCAACGTATATCGTGCGGCTAGTTTCCGTCAAGTACTGTTTATATTCAATTTTAAATAAAAAATTTACAATAATTTCTAACTGCACGATGTACGATGAACGAACGTGATTGAAAGATCCTTGTGATTCTCACAAAAAGGACCCGGAAAGGATCCTAAATGCAGAAGAATGAGGGACAAAGTTGAAATTGTCTCCATATATTTTCACTTATTTACACTTAACACATTAAAAAATATCAAAGAATATACCGTAAACAAAAAAAAATGTATGAAACGTTCAAAAAGTAAAAGGATAAAAAATTATTTTCTATTAATTTGTCAGCCTGATGGCGCTTTATGGGACACATCTCTCAACAAAAGATTGCATTGGGTCACGTAACTTTTAACGCTCGAACACCGCCTTGGCTTAATCTCAAAGCAGTTCGGCAAAATATCTTGAATTCCCTCCGAGACGTGCCAAACTTGGTAACAACTAATAAGTGTCTGCTGGCCCACCCGATCGACCTCCACCGGCATCTCCGCATCTCCTCAATCGAATCTCTCCCCTCAATTCCCAAATCTGTATTTTAATTTTTAATCACCCACGTCCAATTTCCTCTTGTGATTTCTATCAAGGACAATTCTCCTTCTTCTGATTATCACTGCTCCATTATTTATACAAATATATATAAAAAGGACCGACTCTGAAGACCCCATCTGGGAAAGAAGACGAATCTCCTTCTGGGGCTGCTTTGGTTGTTCTCAGCTGGCGGGTCTTCGATTTTTCGGTACGTTTTCTCACCTGGGTTTTGCTTGGCATGCTTTGATTTCCCACCATTACTTACTATTTGTGATTAGATTGTTAATGCTGGATTTTGCGTACCTTTAATTTGGCTTTGGTTTCCAAGAAAATGCAACAAAAGAAAATGGACAATTAGATTTGAGACTAAATTTTTTTGTAATGGGTTTGCATTCTCTCTGCAATTGTTCATATTTCAATTCAAAAATAAAAAATTTGATGCATTTTTCGATTTTTTACGTTGGATTTGATAAGGGTCAATGCTTCAGGATCTGGGTTCATTGCCTGGTACCTTATAATTGTTCTTTGGCAACGAAAGAGAGAATTTTTCAATGTGTTAAGTGTGACATTGTATGATTTGGGGTTAAACAGAAAATGGGGAGCGAAATCGAAGAATTTGAAGATCCAAAACTTTCATCCGAAGCATTGGAGAACAATCGTGCATCTTCGTCGAAGGAAGGCAAAGGAAAGTGGCTGTGGGAGAAGGTGAAGTATCAGCTGGTTGAGTACCACACTTTGCCAAATTACTTGAGGGACAATGAGTTCATCTTAGGCCATTACCGGTCTGAATGGCCATTGAAGCAGGTCTTGCTTAGTATGTTTACCATCCACAACGAGACGCTGAACGTTTGGACGTAAGCCTCTGTCTGTATATGAGTCTTCTTTTTTTTTTATATATTATTTGGAAATGTTTAGTTGTACATATATGACATTATGTGATCATTTGGTCTGCACCAGTAATATGGTTAACGGGTCTGTTGCTTTCAGATAAAAGCTATTAATCGGGAGTTTATTTTAAACAGTTTCTATATTTCCCCTCTTGAAGTTTGTAATATTTAATGAGAAAGCAAAAACTGTTCATAATTTTCCTTGTTTCTTCTGAGTTAACAGTAGTGGATTAAACTGTTGAATATGACAATTTACTTCGATCACAAGAATTGTATTGACTTCCATATTTCTATGTCAAACCCACGAAATTCTCTGATGTGAAATTATGTATCCTTTTTTTGTTATAGAGGTGCGCGGTTGGTTTTTTTAACTTTGTGTAAAAATATATTTTTGGTAACTGATATGTCGGAACTAGAACGGCATAAACTTCAACGTTGGACAATCTTTTCTAACAAATTATTGCTTTCCAGGCACTTGATCGGATTCTTCCTTTTTCTTTCCTTGACCATATACACTGCAAATAAGGTTCCAGAGGTCGTTGATCTTCATGCTCTGCAGCATTTTCCTGATGTGCTGAAAAAGGCGGATCTGCACAAATTACATGAAGAATTCATGACCTGCCTCCCTTCCTTACCCAACATGCCAGATCTTAACAGACTTAGAGAAGAGTTAAAGATGTCGTTAACTTCAATCGATCTGCTACCCTCACTCTCTGGTTGGCATGTTATGGAACTTCTGAAAAACTGTTTGCCACAACGATTCTCCCATGGCAACCAAACTGATGTCTGTGTGCTGGTATGCTCGACCTTTAAAGCCGTAGATCCAATGATATTAACTTATCCACTGACCATTTATATACATTCGTAATACCTTTTAAGCTTTTAGATTCTTCCATTATGTTCAATAGGTTCTTTCTTCCTGAATGAACATTTTACTATTTGACGTTCTCCTCCTCCAATTCAATATGAACAATAAATAGTTTATGTATTGTTGAAATATGTTTTAACTTATTTTGATCCTTTGGCATTTAATTATCTAGTTCCTCACATCTACACACTCATCCCCAGTGTGCCATTTACAAGGCTTTGATTTTCTAGCATAATGTGCTTAGAATTGTATCATTTATGTGAGATTTTTTAGTATAAATGTGAGTTTTGCAAAATGGTTTTCCTTAATAGTTTGGCTACTCAAATTATCGCATAGCTGTCCATCTAAGATGATATGTAGGAAAGTTAACTGATAGTTGTGTCCTATTTCACACACACGGGCGCGTGCACAATCTAATTGTGTGAGCCCTTGGAGCATTAAATAATATAAAAGCATGAGCAGTTAGAATCCCCAATCATATAAATCTACTTTCCATTGTCAATGTTAATGTACTTTGGGAGATGCATCTGCTAACATACTTTAATTTGTTGTTTGGATTTAAGCAGCGTAGCATGAAGGAGGATGTAGCAAACATAATAGCACCATTGATGATTAGACCAATCACAAGATGGCCATTTTTTGCCTTCTTGGGGGGAGCCATGTTTTGTTTGCTGACCAGCAGCGCATGCCATCTCCTCTCTTGCCACTCTGAGCTCATGTCGTATATCATGCTCAGGATGGACTATGCTGGAATTGCAGCCCTTATATCTACCTCATTCTACCCTCTCGTCTACTACAGTTTCATGTGTAACCCTTTCTTGTGCGCCCTCTACATGGGATGCATAACCCTCTTGGGAATTGCCACAGTTTTGGTTTCCCTTATCCCAGTCTTTCAAAATCCTGAATACCGAATAGTCCGTGTGTCTCTTTTTCTTGGCATGGGCTTGTCCGGGATTCTACCTGTTATGCACAAGCTGATCTTGTTTTCAGATCAACCTGAGGCACTCCACACAACCGGGTATGAGATTCTGATGGGCCTTCTCTACGGGGTGGGAGCCCTGGTCTATGCCACAAGGATTCCGGAACGATGGCTGCCTGGGAAATTCGACATAGCAGGGCACAGCCACCAGCTGTTTCACGTATTGGTAGTGGCGGGGGCATACACCCATTACCGTGCAGGGCTGGTGTACCTCCAGTGGCGCGACTTAGCGGGTTGCTGATTTAGTGAATTAGGAAGGTTGCCTCTTGACTCTAGTATTAGTGGGTAACTGTAAGGTCTCTGTTTGTTGTTATTTTATGTGTAGCGTAAATAATGTGATTTCCGATTTGTGACTAGAATTGGGCACAGAAAATCGTGTTTGGTTCCTGGGAAAATGAAAAAAAGAAACATTGTATTGGAGTATTTCTATGTTTTTTCTTGTACGCTTTCTGTATGAAAGAATTGCAGTGCAGTACGTGAACAAAAAGGGAGGAAAAATAATTTGTTTTTGCTTTCATTGAGAGTTGAACTCAAGACCTCCCGCTTACTAAACGGGTGCTCTAACCAACTGAGCTATGAAAGCTTCTTGTTATGTATTCCATCGGAATTATTTTTTACAAGAATACGGCCAATTTTTCACACCGCGTTTCCTTTTCCAATGCATTCCCTTTTCCCGTTCATCCATACTTTCTGAATTTATTAGCGTGGAAATTAATGGGAAGAAAATTTGTATATTTAAGTAGATCCAAGCAATATTTGATAAATGAATTTCTAATTTTGTTCTGGTAAATTAACTGATTTTGATATTGTAGTTTGGTTAAAGTTCTATTTTAATTTTACAGATTTTTCAATGTCAACTCACAAAGTCAACTAAATTGTTTGAGAAACGTCTCACATGTGATCCGAACGTGTTAAATTAAATAAGCATAATTAGCAAATTATTTAAAATCATGAAAAATCCAACTAAATTAAATTTGTAAAGCTTCGGCAATCATCAATCATAACTACACAAACAAAGGAGATGCCACAATAGGGGTTTGTCCTTCCATACTTTAGGGTCTCACAATGAAACCATCTCTAACCTGAACTAACCAACAATAAATTCATCTAAATTGCTAAAAAGAGAGAATTGCTTTGAAATACAGTAAGTTTAAACTTAAAACGCAGTGAGTAGCATGTTGTAGAAAACAAAAAAGAACATCCAAATTTTTTACTCCTTTACATTGGCATTCTACGTTTAGTTTAAGCCATATAAAGTAGCAGCCATAGTCCAAACTTCATCTTTCTTCCTCCTTTCTCTATCATTCAGTCATTCATTTATGTTCATAAAATCCCAGATCACAACCGGCACTGCAATGATTACTTGCCCTTTCTACCTTCATTCCTTTCGGAAACAAATCCCCTTTCTCCCATAAACGTCTCCCCAAAATTCAATTCCCACTTCCAATTTTAGGCATTTGTCTCATATTAACAAAAATCGCCAAATCCCCAAATCCCCAGAATCCCAATCCCCCCTTCTTTCTCTCTCTCTCTCTCTCTCTCTCTCTCTTCAAATATGCATCCTAATCCTATCCCACTCTTCCCACTTACTCCACCTTCCCACCTCCCAAACACCTTCCAATGGCAAAACCCACCCACCAATCCCGACCCTGCACCGACGGGTTTTCCTTCCTCGCTGGCCTATTCATCGCCCTTTTCTCCGTCTGGTTCTTCTGGTGCTTCATCGCCCTGTACCATCACAAACCCAATTTCGGATTCCTCCTTTTTCCTATACCCGGCTCGGGATACGCCGCCCACGACCCAAATCCAGAACCCGACCCGATTGACACTACCTTTTACGACGACCCGGAACTGAGCTACTTCATAGAAAGCCCGATCAGGAACTGGGACCAAAAGCGGCGCGTTTGGCTGGACCTACTTCCGTCGCTCGCTTCCGGGTCGCGAAACCAGGTCCTCCTCGTCACCGGATCGCAGCCGTCCAAGTGTAAGAACCCGATTGGCGATCATTTTCTTCTGAGGCTGTTCAAGAACAAGGTGGACTACTGTCGTTTACATGGACACGAGATTTTCTACAACAACGCGCACTTGCATCCCAACATGGACTCCTATTGGGCCAAGCTTCCGGTTATTCGCGCCGCGATGCTGGCCCACCCAGAAGCCGAATGGATCTGGTGGATGGATTTAGATGCGGTTTTTACGGACATGGAATTTAGGGTTCCGTTGGGCCGGTATGAAAATCACAACCTTGTAGTCCACGGTTGGCCCAATATGGTTTATGGGGACAAAGATAATAAAAGTTGGACCGGGCTCAATGCCGGGGTGTTGTTAATTCGAAATTGTCAGTGGTCCATGGACTTAATTGATGAATGGGCCTCGATTGGCCCACAGACCCCGGATTTTGAAAACTGGGGCCGAATATTGACATCGGTATTCAAGGACAAGCCGTTCCCACTCCCAGACGATCAATCCGCTCTGATTTACTTGCTCTTCACGGATGAGGAGAGGTGGGGGAAAAAAGACTTATTTGGAGTGGGAGTACTACTCGGAAGCTTATTGGATAGGGGTAGTGGGGAAGTACGATAACTTCACCGAGAGTTACGCCGAGACGGAGCGAAACGACAACGGTTTAAGGAGGAAACATGCGGAGAAAGTGAATGAGTGGTACGGTGCGAAAAAAGAGACGTATCTTAAGGGGCGCGTGAGGAGACCGTTTGTGACGCATTTTACCGGGTGTCAACCGTGCAGCGGAGAGCACAATCCACAGTATACCGGGGATTCGTGTTGGGACGAGATGAATAGGGCTTTGAATTTCGCGGATAATCAAGTACTTCAAAATTATGGTTTTGTGCACCTTGATTTGAGTTCGTCAACTGTTTCTGTTATGTTGTAACGTTTGATTAATTAATTAAATTGTGAGGTTTTAAATTATAGAAAGATAATAAGCATAGTTGTGTTTTTGTTGGTTGTACATGTTGTATTTGATGAAATATGTCCTCTACAAGTAATCATATTTTATTGAGAATAAAAAAATCTGAAAAAACAATGTATTTGATTTCAAGTTTCAACTAATGATCCTTAGATTTCGTGGAGTGTAGAAGCGAAGGTCTATAATATATTATGAAATGGGAAATGCTGCCAAATTAGAAAACTTTGGTCAATAAAAAACACATGATTATTGCTTTGTATGTGGTCACTATTTATAAACAATGTGTCATTCTTGATTGGTGTAACGATCACATTTGGAAAAAAAAATTTCCGTTTAATTTTTTTTCTTTCCCAAAGGTAAGAATTTCATTATACTTGTCAACAATGTAGTGGTGTAATTTTATAAAATATAAAGGATTACAAAGGCAAGAAGGGTCCCACTTCAGACAATATTAAACAGGTTAAAAAACTACTTATGTAAGTGATTATGTTGCGAATCTTCTGACATTGGTATCTGTTAGTGTTAATCTCCACTGTTTACTTATGGTTTTGGTTGTTTTTCTGTATAAGTATATTAATAAGACTGACCCATACTAATATGAAGATTATTATTATTAATTTGTAATTTTAAAACATTATCTCCAGTTTTCATGTAAGATGCTTCACCTTGTAGTTATTATGTTTCCTTACCATGTGCTTACCAGTCAACAAATTGAGCTAGGTGTGGTCTTTTTTTTTTTTTCACTATCATTAAACATTTATTGTTGGTCTGATTGCTTGTCTAGCGATCCCTTCTAGCTGTCATCGAGAGTTCGGATTTGAGATGCTAAATAAGAAGATATGTAAGCGAGGTGCAAAAGCAGGCATGCAACAAGTGAAACGGACTACCTTCTCGCCTCATCCCATCCGAGTGGACACCACATCTTGTCCTAAACTCTGTTGTTTTTCAATGCTAATCATTTTTTATTAAGAACTTGTAATTTTGATGGTTAAGATTATTTATATCTGTATTTGAACTAAAGTCTAACTTCCCCTTCACAATGTAATTTGTATATAGAAAATGGGGGAAAGAAAAAAACTATTTTTGTAGGAAAAAAAAAAGCTAAATTGAATATTACAAAATCTTCTCTTTTTTTTTGTTGGTTATAACTAGGGGAAAATGTAACTCTGAACTCATGCTTATGTTAACTCATTGAAGTTGCACCATCATCTGGAGAGACTTTTTTGTGTATCCAGAACATAAGGTGGTACATCATGTGTTATAAAGTGGAGACATTGAAAAGGGTAATGCTAATTGGGATGGAATTTATTGTCAAATTACCGTGTCAACGGAATTGTTAACTGTACCATACCGATTTTGTGTCAATTGTAATGGCACGGTATTGTATTAAACCGAATTTTTTTGATACGGTATTGATATTCGATAACATTACTAATGATATTATTGTACTGTACCAAAAAATATAAATATATATTACATAATTTATATATGTAAATATTTAGTAAAAATCCATTATTGCCTCTCATTCCTTTGGAGCATATCAATCTTATCGTCTACTTATATTATAATACGTTATGTATCATTTTTGTGTTCCGAATACACATCAAAATTTATCCATCATTTATATCACTATCTTATGAATATAAGTAAACTAATTATGAACTTGAAGTTTTCTTTATACACGTGGTATGGCGAGAATCAGATACAAAACCCTCAAATGGAGGAATAAACACTTTGACGATTTGAACTAGAGATTATGTGACAATAATTTGCATTGGTGGGTTGCAATTTTACAAGCTTAAAATCTCATGTTCATCACTTGTTTGAATGTTGCCACCTGTCTGGGTAATTATCAATCAACATCATAACTAATTCAATTCAACACTATGCCAACTCTATTTGCCAAACCAATTCCTTCCAAATAAAAGAAATCCTTTTACAGAATTTTTAAAAAAAATTTAAAAGTAAAATTCTGCATGAACTCTCTGTCAACTTATGTTTTCAACACAATTTTTATACCGATATTTAAATATATTATGTCAAAAATAAAAAATGTTGAAAAATTCATAAAAATCTTACTTTTGAAAAAATTTCCAAAACATTTATCTCCAATAATATAAGTTTTAGATTTCCTTTTCATTCCAAACAAGTCCATGTTCATTATTAATATCACAATAAAGTGCACCTAAATGACCATAATACCTTCCTTCATTCCTTTCTTGTGAGTCGCACCCACACTAAAGTAACGTGGTGTGGGTCATAAAAGTAAAAGCGACAAAATTCTAATTTCTACCCACGAAGGTGCCGGTTCATAAACACATACATACACGTGTCTGCTTGATCAAGGTGTAGGCCAGACAAAGGGACCCAACGAATGCCGTAGATCGTGGCGCACTTTAGCATCTTCAGCGCTACTAAACCGACTATGCACTCTACACTCCCCCCACTTCTCAAACCCTTCTGCTAAACATATCCAGAGGACCAGAATAGAAGCTGTACGAAACCCTTCATCGATGGCCGCAAAACGACACCGTTAACAACCCAGCCCTGTCGCATTTTCCATTTCCAATGCTCTCCCCTGAGTTGCCTCAAATGTCGAAACCCTATGCCAGAGCAAGGCCGTCTTCCTGGGTCGCCGACGGACTGCTTTTCTTCGGCGGCGCATTTATCGCTCTTCTCCTCCTCTTCACTCTCTGGACTTTCGTAACCCCTTCTTCCATCCCCAATTTCAACCGCACGGTCGCTCCGCCGCCAACCGCTGCTGAACCCGATCAATGCGCCGACGACGCTGACCTCCGCCGGGACCCCCGGAACCGGACCTTCTACGATGACCGGGAGGTCCGGTACACGCTCGGACAGCCGGTTCGGGACTGGGACGAGAAGCGGCGGCAGTGGCTGCTGCACCACCCGTCGTTGGCGTCGGGAGCGGGGGAAAGGATTCTGATGGTGACGGGATCCCAGCCGTCCGCGTGTAAAAATCCTATCGGCGATCATCTCCTCCTGAGATTCTTCAAGAACAAGGTGGACTACTGTAGAATCCACGGCCACGAAATCTTCTACAACAACGCGTTGCTGCACCCGCGGATGGGGAACTACTGGGCCAAGCTCCCCGTAATCCGGGCCGCCATGGTGGCCCACCCGGAGGCCGAGTGGATCTGGTGGGTCGACTCGGACGCGTTGTTCACCGATATGGAGTTCAAGCTCCCGCTGGACCGGTACAAAAACCACAACCTCATCGTCCACGGGTGGACGCACCTGGTAATGGAGACGCACAGCTGGACCGGGCTCAATGCTGGGGTGTTCTTAATCCGGAACTCCCAGTGGGCCATGGATTTCCTCGAGGTGTGGGCCAGCATGGGCCCGCAGACGCCGGAGTACGAGAAGTGGGGGGAGACCCTCCGGTCAACGTTCAAGGACAAGGCGTTCCCGGAGTCGGACGATCAGACGGGCCTGGCTTACTTGATCTACAGGGAGAAGGAGAAATGGGGGGACAAGATTTATCTGGAGAGCGAGTATTATTTCGAAGGGTACTGGGCGGAGATCGTGGGGACGCTGGATAAGATCGAGGCCAGGTACGACGAGATAGAGAGAGGGGAGGAGGACAATGCGGTGCGTTTGAGGAGGAGGCACGCGGAAAAGGTGAGCGAACAGTACGGTGCGTATAGGGAGGAGTACTTGCGTGAGGCGGGGTACGGGAAGGGGAGCTGGAGGCGGCCGTTCGTCACGCACTTTACGGGATGCCAGCCGTGCAGCGGAATGCACAACGAGATGTATTCCGGGGAGTCGTGCTGGGACGGGATGCGGAAGGCGTTGAATTTCGCGGATAACCAGGTGCTGCGTAAATATGGGTACGTGCACCCGAGCGCGGGGGAGAGTGCTGCCACTCCGGTGCCGTTTGATTACCCGGCCGAGTTTTGAAAAGGTGCAGAATAGCATATAGCTTTTGTTTGATTGCTTTTGCTTTTGGCTTTTGTTTATTCGGCTTTTGTAAAAGGTGGATTTATTAATCAATTACTTATGCTGATTGGATTCATTGGATGATGAAAGCTCTTGACTGATTTGTTGACTAAATTGTATGGAAAGTGACTAAATTATTGGATCTGTCTTATGAGCGGGGAAGTGTTTGGCCATGCAAAAGGTATATAGGGGAGTTGTTGATGATGATGACAATTTGGGAAAACCCTAATGATATCTTAATCGTTGTTAGGAATGATGATAAATATACTTGTTTTTTTAATGGGGAGTTCAAGACTTGGAAGTTATATCAAACAAGGATAGAAACACAGACGTATCTTAATTTCTCATCACTGTTTTATTAGGGGTTTGGTGTCACATAGCTACCTTACCTACCCTCGTTTACTTTGCGTTGTATCAATTGATTCTTTAGCTTCCACATCTCCGTTGGCGGATCCACCTAGGGGCCGCCAAGGCTTCCAATTGCCCTACCGCCCACCGTTATTGCTACACATGATATCGTCTAAGTTCTTTTGATCTTCTCCTTGGGCCAAATGTCTCTCCCCTCCCTTCCTCACATTTCATTTCATGTACTTCTTGTAAATTCACATCTCACTATGCAATAAGTTTTGTTGACAAACATCGGAAGCTCCCACAACTTACAGTCTAGTGATATTTCTCTTTTTAATACTAAAATAAGTTCTAAGTTCGCAATACCAAGACTTCGTGCTATAGCAGTTTGAACCGATAGGCTCGATGGAAGGTTGGGTTGAACAATGTCAACCCAAGGCAACCCAAACGGAACCGGATATTATGAACAATAAAAATGATTGATTTTACTAAATATGGGCATCCCTCTTATTGTAATTTAGAATAAAACGTGAAATGGCAAATAGTTTGATCTTAATAAAACGTTCTGTGCGAGCGCATATGACATACCATTTGCCCTTGTTTTAGTCTTGCCCTCTTTCTTTAGCTTGCTTCTTTGCCTTCCCCCTTTGCTTCACTTTGTTCTGATTACCGCAAGCAGGTGTCTCATTGCCTGAACAAACGCAATCTCGCGTTAATTTTCTCACTCCATTTTTCAAAATTTCAAATGAAATTACCCAAAACAGAAACCATAATTTAGTTTACGAAACAATCCAAAAGATTTCTGCACTCGTGTTTATTTAAGTCTTTTTATTCTCCTTTGATTTCAATTAAAACTTATAATTTAAACAAGATTTTGCGAAGATCACTTCCCAACATTTTCTAACCCGGTTTCTCAGCGATAGCAGCGCCAGGTTTCTCAGAGGCATTACGTCGAACACCTTGTGCTTCATTTTCAAATTGTTCTATTGTTGAAGGTAAAAGAGGCCCAATAATTCCCCTTAGGCGAGAAGCATCTCCCTTGAGCTGCTTCTTGCGGAGTCTCTTCCGTTGAGCCCTCATAAGCCTCTGAGGCTCACTTTCGCCTTTGCCATCGTCTTCACCGCTCGTCGCTGAAGACCCACTTTCCTCTAAGTCATATGTTGGTACTTTGAAAGTAAACTGTGATGGATCATGGAATTCGAAGACATGGTTGGGGAGTTATAAGTGGGTGATTCGAGATTTTCCAGGTGTATGCGAAGAGCAGGACGGGCGAGGAAGAGGCCTTTTCATTCGGCAATCTTGGCGGAGCATAGGCTATTCGTGCAGCACTTGTGTTTTGCAAAAACGAAGGATTTATGAAGTTGGAGATTGAATCAGATGCCCAAGTGCTGCTGCGAATGATTAACAAGGGGGTTGAAGTGGATGCTGATTTGAAATGTCTTTTTGTTTGATATTGATTCTTTGGTGAAGTATATTGGAGATGTCAAAATTGGGTTTGTGCCACGGGATAGCTGGCTGCACACGATTGCCTCTTTTACTGCTGAACATAGTGATTCATTTGTTTGGGACGAGATAAGCCTTGCATTTTTATTTAATATTCTTGCATATAAACATTTCGATTAAATTATAAATAAGTCTATATTTTGATCCAAAAAAAGGTCTTCGCTAAGGTACCGTTTGGTACGTAGATGGAACGGAATGGAGGTTTCGTGTATGTTTGGTACGCGTAGGACGGAATAAGACGATTGTTCTGTTCTGCGTTTGGTACGTGTTGGAAGGAACAGAACCAAAAGATTGAATGATTGCGAAGCCACAGCCGGAGATGCAGAGACTGTAGGGCTTCCGTTGGCATTGTAAGTGTTCATCACGCTCAGCAAACTCTTCGGCACTTGCAAAATTATAGAATCGAAAATCGAAAACCAATTACAAAGAATTCAGCTTTGCAGTAAATCATACAATCTAAAACAAAAACCAACTAAAGAATTTGCATTTAATTATATAATCGAAAACAATAACCAACGAAAAATTCCGTTTTTCAGTAAATTATGAATCCTAAAACAAAACCAATTAAAAAGCATTCATCTTTGCAGGAAATTATGGATTGCAAAACATAAACCAATTAAAAAGAATTCACTTTCGCAGTAATTCTAAAACAAAAATCAATTAAAATTAAAAACCAATTCTCAAATTACCTGATAGAGGCTAAGAAGGCAAAGATTGGCATCGAGATTGTAGGTCTGCGAAGAAACCTGAAAAACAACCAAATAAACCCTGTCGTTCAATCAAAATTAATCAAACCCAAGTATTGGTTCCCGTCAATGAAGAGACAGAGACAGAGACGGAGAGGAAGATACATACCTGCCCGTTGACGTAGTTTTCGAGATTGGGAAGGATGTCGGGGTTGTACGAATTCACGGCGAGCAGCTGCTCCACCGCGAGCGCTACCTGCTGCTGTATTAGAAATAATCTATTTCTGTGAATTTTGTATTGTCGTTTTTCTTCGATACAAAATAAAAGTAGAGAAAACGAAGGGAGGGAGCAAAGATGCCATGGAAAACTAGGGCTCGGATGGAAGCGAGGAGGAAGAAGAAGGAGATGGAGAGGTTGGGATCTAAGGAAAGAGACAATGGGAAAGGGACATTTTTGTTTTAAAATGTTATAATTTTGTGTTCTACAGACGTGGGACGAATCGTTTCAAGGGGGTGAGGGGGAACAAAAATTCTCGTCCTGTGGAACAGTGCGTTCCACCCATTTTAGGCGCACCAAACCTTAAAATGCCCAACGTTACGTCTTCAAGCTCATCATTTGGCGAAAAAAAAGGGTTTGGGGGTGTGATATTCACACACCCCTTTTTACTTCTCTCACACCTTTTTAGTTTTCGGCGGATCAAATGAATTGAAGAAGATCAACGGACATAAATTAATAAGGAGAGTGTGAGAAGTAAAAAAGGCTGTGTGGATAGTACACCCCAAAAAAAAAATGTTGAGAACAGCCTCAGGGAACTTTGGGTGCTTTTCCTCCCTGCGCTTTTTTTTTAACGGAAAAATGGGACAAAATACCCACCCAATTGGTCCAATTCTTTGCTTGGTTTGGTTGTTAGCTAACTTAGCTTTGAGAAGAAGAAAGTGTTTGCCAAACCTTTTTTTTATTACGAGAGCCAGACAGCTTCGAGTCAGTCCCAATGATCTAATGCAAAAAATGTACGCATAGTTGTATTATTAGCACGGAAGACCGAAGTTGACAATGCCATTTTAGTTCTAATTTATGAGGAGATGAATATATTGAAATGTAATATTTAGTGCAAAGAAGCAAACTAATTGACCGAATCCAGTCTAATTAGTTGCTGTTTGTTTGTAATTATGCAGCTTTGGTTTTGCCTGTACGATGTTGCTTTGCAAATTGCAATTGCAGCTTTTAATTAAGTAGATTTTTATCATCTAATACAGGTTGCAGTTGCATCTACCCAAGTGTTTTCTATGTCCGAGTTGTACACATACAAATGTATCAAAAGAGCATTTTAGAAGAAGCACAATTTTTTATTCAAAGTGCTTTTTGAGAGATTCACCTTTTGAGCCTCCGTTTGCACTGAACTTGCACTCCATATACTTTGTCTTTGATCGACTTAGGTGAAGACTTTTAGATTCCCACACTTCTCTCCAAAGGTTAAACTTCGCATTTGCTCATTCATGAGTTTCATCTATCAACACTATATCGTCTGTGAAAAGTATAAACCAAGTAATATCATCTTGAATATATCCAATTAACTCATTCATTACCAATGCAAAAAGGTAAGGACTTAAAGGTGAGCCTTGATGTAACCCTACAGTTATGGGGAAGCTTTTGGTTTGTCCTTCATGAGTTCTTATGACAGTTCTTGCTCCATCATACATATCCATTTTAGCTTGGATATATGCTACTCGTACTCATTTCTTCTCTAAAATCCTCCAAAGAATGTCTTTTGGGACCCTATCATACGCTTTTCCAAATCTATAAAGACCATGTGCAAATCCTTTTTCATATCTTTATATCTTTCCATCGATCTTCATAAGAAATAGATTACCTCCATGGTTGAGCACTCTTGCATGAACCCGAATTGGTTGTCCAAGACCCGTGTCTCTTGCCTCAGTCCATGCTCAATTACTCTATCCCAAAGCTTCATTGTATGACTCATTAACTTAATACCCCTATAATTCATGCAACTTTGTACGTTGCCCTTATTCTTATAGATAGGCACCAAAGTGCTCTTTCATCATTCATTTGGCATCTTCTTCGTTTTCAAAATCTTATTGAAAAGGTCTGTGAGCCATGTTGTACCCTTTTCTCTCAAGACTTTCCATACTTTGATCAGTATATCATTTGGGCCCACTGCTTTTCTATGCTTCATCTTTTTCAATGCTACAACCACTTATTCCTTCTTAATTCGGCAGTAAAACGAGTAGTTTCTACACTCTTCTGAGTTACTCAACTCCCCCAAAGAAGTACTCATTTCATGTTCTTCATTGAAAAGATTATGAAAATAACCTCTCCATCTGTCTTTTGACCACGTTTTTATATCCATAATATATAAGTGTATATAAAGATTAAGGTGCCTGTTCTAGTCCTAAAAAAGCAAGGAAAACTCGTGAACCAACTGTGGGGCTAGCAACATGGAATGTCGTGAATAAATCTCTCTCGCTAATTCCAATCCAAATTGATCCAACCCAAAAGTTAGCAAAAACAGTGGAGGCCCAGAGGATGATCAACACAGAGATTGGGTTGAAGACTCGTGGTAGAGCTCTATTGACAGTAGGCTTGGTAATTTCTGACACAACCCGATAACTAGACAGGACACAACAGGAAATTAACAGGTGTTTGGGTCGACACGATAACGAATCGGGTCATTATCGGGTAACCCGATAAGCACATGTTAAGATAACGGGTTGGTTCAGGTATACACGTGGGTAACACGATACACGATAAGCAAAATATTAATTTTATAATTTTATAACCCTAAAAAAAATACTATAATAATTATATATATATATATATATATAATTAAATATTAAAAATTGGTGACCATTGGATCGGCTTAAATATACATACCATTCAATTTCTTAAGTGTTATATGTACAAAATAAATAAATTTAAATCTACTTAATAAATAAATATATATATATATATATTTATATATATACCATTGAACTTGATGGGATATGAATTCTACGAAACTAATTTCAATGATCCAATCATCAAACTTGTTTGTATATGCATCGAGATCGCATTAGCAAAAAATCATAAAAAAAAATATTCAGAGATCAAGTAATGAGACAAAACTTTTCGACGGTTATCAACGAAAAATCATGATTTAACGGGTATTTTAACTTCGATTTTGATGATTTTTTACAGTTACACTCCTGATCCTATATGAATACAATGAATGAACTCGATCTTCAATTTAAAATATTTACACTAGTGGATACCACAAAATCTTATGTTATACTTAATGAAAGTATGAATAAACTCTTAAGTGTTAGTGAATCTATTGTTTTGATGGGATACACATTCTACAAAACTAGTTTCAACAATCCAATCGTCAAATATGTTTGTATATACTTCAAGATTGCATATGCCAAAAATTACAAAAAACAAACATTTAGAGATCAAGTAATGGGACAAAACGTTTCAATGGTTATCAACAAAAAAAATCACGATTTAACGGTTATTTTAACTCCGATTTTAATGATTTTTTTTATAGCTACACTAGTTGACCCTATATGAATACAATGAATGAACTCGATATTCAATTTAAAATATTTACACTAGTGCATACCACAAAATCTTATGTTATACTTAAATGAAAATATAAATAAACTCTAAGTGTTAGTGAATCTATCGTTTTGATGAGATATGCATTCTACGAAATTAATTTTAACGATCCAACCGTCAAACTTGTTTGTATATGCTTCAAGATCGCATACGTCAAAAATCGCAAAAAAAAACATTCAGAGATCAATTAACGGGATAAAACTGTTTGACAGTTATCAATGAAAAATCATGATTTAACGATTCTTTTAACTCCGATTTTGATGATTTTTTACAGTTACACTCCTTGACCCTATATGAATACAATGAATGAATTCGATTTTCAATTTAAAATATTTACACTAGTGGCATGATGATCGATGAAAATTGAGGATTTTGTAAAAGGAATAACATGCAAACTTTGAGTTCCATTGATAAGGTTTAAACTTTTGAGAAAGGCTTCACAACCTTGAAAACAAAAACTCTTTCGTTTTGCATATCTTTGAACATTTAATATTTTGTAATAGACTAGTAGTGTATGAATGTTTGTTTATTTGACTCTTATTTTCGAGTGTAGATATAGTACTTAAACGACAAATGTGTTTTAATGTTTTAAAGTAATGTTTATGTGGCAATGTGTGGTATGTGCAAATTTAAGGAATATTTTTTTTCTTAACGGGTCATAGCGGGTCATAATGGATTGGGTCATTTTACCCGTTTTGTTAAGGACCCATTAAGATAACATGTGTTACACAAAAATGAAACGAACACGACATACACGACCCGTTTGCCAGACCTAATTGACTATCAAAGTGGTGGAAAGAATTAACTATGGAGGAGAAAATGGAGATTCGAATGGTTTGGAGGTTAGTTAACATTTTCTTTGGCAATAATTGATTTATCTGATTGAAGTTTGATAAAAGGTTGAACAATTGAAGTATATCTATTTATTAATTTTGAGTGTGGGCAATTGTAATACTTGGTGAATAAGTAAGCTGATAATGTTCCACTTAAAGCACTTTCAGTGTGTTATTTAGCCCGGTGGATATGCTCCATTTGCAATCCAATCTCCTCCCAAAGTGGCACCAGCCCATTCGGGCAATTGGGTTAAGGGGGAGCCTGTGGGAGAGCTCAGACATAAGTCTAAGGCCCGAGCGCCTAAGGGGGAGTGATGCAAGGCTGACGTCAGCCATGTTATTAAAAAATTTGCATCAGGCATGTGCATAACATGCGCACATGGGGGCGCATTATCGACAAGATTTCAAGATGTGGGGCCCGCGCTTTACAAGCTGTGTTAGCCATTATTGGGTGCCATGTGGCACCCTTTCGGCCGTTGGATTTCAACGGCTCTTTTTTCTGGACCGTTCAATTTCCACCGGTCAATTTTTATAATTTCGTATTTATTTGATTTAGTACTTTATTTAAACTAAGAGTATCTTTATTTATGGGGTGTGATTACTTCTCCCACACCTTTTTAGTTTTCGGCCATCGGATCGGATGAATTGAAGAAGATTAATGGACATAAATTAACAAGGGGTGTGTGAGAAGTAAAAAGGAGTCTGTGGATAGCACACCCCTTATTTAATTTGGTACTTTATTTAAACTAAAACACACCAAAAAAAATTATATAAACACACTAATTAAAAAAAACCCACACTAAATGAATTTAAAAAACACACCAAATAAAATTACATAAACACACCAAATGAAAAAAACACACTAAATGAACTTAAAAAACACACCAAACAAACTAAGAGCATTCTTCTTCTACCACAAGCTT